GTGAAGAAGAGAGGACTTTGGAGTTGGAAATGGAGATTTGAGTAGGGAAGACTGGTAAGAAGAACCAAAAGAGAGACCTGCAGTCAGGTGTTTCAAGAGAAGACATTTAAAGAGAGGTTAGTAGGGAGAGGAAGTTCTAGCAGGAAGAAAATAAGAGTTTTGAAGGACAACTAGATGAAATACTAAAATAGAATAGCAAGTAGCTTTTGTCCACAAGAGGAAAAAAAAAGATGACTGTTCAATAAAGTAGATATGACAAAGATAAAAGACTGAAAAAAAGAGAATTTCCCCTTTCCGTGAAAAGGGGCGGGGAAAAAAGACTTCACAAAAGTAAGGTAGAGAAATAAAAGAAAGACAAAAGCTAGAAAAATATTGTTACTAAGAAAGAAAACAGTTGAAGTAAGGATAATGGGGGGGAAATTGCAAAAGCGTTTTGTAACTAAGTGGATGATCATTTATTTGTGCTCCTATAATTGATATTTCTTTGGCTGATTTCTGCCTCAAAACAGAATAAAGAGATGAGGATAGATAGATAGTTGTTTGAGCACTAGTTTACACGAATGGTTTTGGTAACCTGGTCTGGATCATGTAATTAAATAATTCAAATTATCTTTGTTACTATCTATTTTATTTAGGCTAGTTCTTCCCTGGTTATCCTGATGTGTCTCTAGAATGGACACAGTGTGACTGTGTCTCAGTGTAAGGCTGTTCCCTTTCTTCTCCAGAAGATGCTCTTTCCATATGTAGAATGGACCTGGGGGAGAACCCACCTGCTTGCTTGAGGAACAGTCTTATGCTGCAGATGAACACAGAAATAGTTGGAAGGTAACAGGGCTGTCTTTTAAAAAACAGTGTCTAAACTGCTATTTATGAAGTGGTTCAGCATTCTGGATACTGTAAAATATTCCTATCGGGGAAGATTTTTCAATCCTTTCATAGGGGTGCACTTGGAAAAAATCAGGTCCTTTTCCCTCCCCACTTAAATGCAAACTGCAGAATATGTTATAACAAGAAAAAAAATGCTGGGGAGAATAGCTCCCATGTTCTTCTAACCTCAGAAATTAATCAGGTTAAGCTTCAATACTTAATTATTTCAGTAGTGTAATATTAAGTGATTAACTTAATTTCTGTCAATTCATCAAGTCATCTGGCCTCATCTACGTAGAAAAAGGTACTGGGTGAAATGCGTAAGTTAATGTGTAGAGATACATTAATAAGCTGATTCTGTAACAGATATCAAATCTGGTGCAATTTTCCCATAGAAGCAGCTCCTGTACCTTCTTCCAGCTGTAGTGAGATCCCATTGCGTCTTGTTCAAGTGGAAAAAGAAATGAGTCTCCTCCCCAATCACTGTGCTCTACAATGTATACTGAACAGCCATGAAAGTTACATACACTTGTATCAAGTGACTGTGATGATATAAAAAAAAAATTCCTATCTTTTCTCATTAGTAAGGAATATGTTGTATAAGGAAAATGACGAAGCAGTAATTTCACTTAAGGGCAAGATTGTGAGTTATCAGCTTTTCTTCAGAAAACTGGCATGTATGAGTTCAGAAGCATCTTCTACCACTTTTACATCGCTTTATAAAATAACAATACACAGAATTAGCTGTATGGGTATCAAAGTAAGCAAGGAACGCTGAATAGTTCTTACTTTTTAGGCTTCTGTAATGTCATCCCAATGTAAAGCCCAGTGAGCATGACCAGGCCAGGCTGGAGTTGTGTAGTGCAGTTGATGAACATGAATTAATAAAACCACTGGACCATGAGCCTGTGAGAGTGCATGTTTCTGCTGCTGTGCTATAGGCATAGAGGAAATATTTTCTTAAATAACACTTCCATTTTTGTATAAGCTTTTTGCAAGGGAAGCAGCATGCTGTAGTTCATATGATATTAATTTTATGATTTTCTTCTTTCTCTTGGAGCTTGTGTAAGGAATGAGATAGTTATCCTTTAACTTAGCAATTCAACTCAATTGTGTATGCAACTGTAGATGTTTATTCGGTGTTTGAAAGCAAATAGATAATCTTTTGCTTGGTTTTTATGTGACTTCATTATCCTTTTCCCTCTCTATACAATTTCTTTCCTTTATGACACAGTGACCCTTTCTGAAAGCACTAATACTGTGAGAACCAGAGGAGGAAATAATCTTGGGACACGTGAATCAAGGATATTTTGCTTTCTGAAGAATTGTACAACCTTTTGTTTTCAGAAATAAACACATACTTTTATGAAGCTATGAAAATAAAAGGCAATAAATACGTTATTCTTTTTCTGAGAGTGTGTATGTTGAGTCTAGAGGAAGTCCTGGCTGAGTTATGGATCCTTGAAAATGATGACCCATTAGGAGACAGAGCTCAAATTTTGTGCAATAGGTTACTGAAAGCATCAACTGTAATTGTACACAAATAGAGACTGTGTATGTGAACGTGTATATAATGTCATTTGCATTTTAAATTTGTCTAAGAGCATCTTGGGGGCATCTTGTTTTCCTCCGTTTTAAAAATCTGAATAGCACCTGTAATTAGGGGAGAAAACTGAGCCCTGGAAGCTAGGTAGGACTTGCATCTATTGATCTGTGTAAAACTGGCTTATGCTGTCAGGGGAGAAGCAGTCAACTGCTGAGCTGCTTTGTCACTGACATAAGCTGAGAGGGGATTTTTTTTTTTTTTTTTGTCTATACTGTTTATACACCAGTCTATAGACCTGCTGGCTGGTTGAATTTTAAAGAGTGCGGAGGTTTAAAGACTTGTCCCCTGAGGGACGCTCCTGCCAGTTGGGAAGCGAGCTGCGGCTGCTCTGCAGAAGTTGTGTGCACGTGTGCTGGGGGAGGGACGGGGCAGGGCTGGGGAAATGCTGTCCTGCAGCTCAGCCTGGAAAACGCTGTGAAACATACCCATAATTTTCGGGTTGTTTAGTCAAAATATTGAGCTAATACCTTTGGTTTTTTTGTTTTTGTTTTCTTTTTCTTGTGTGGTAATTTATTCTGAGAGAATACAATGGGGAACATAAGTGAATACATTTCCATACCCAATTCTGAGTCAGTCCTAAGCTCACCAGGCAGCAATTAAAATCCTCAGTAGTAAGGAGAAAATGACTTCCTATAGTGTGAGAATAGGTGCGGGTTTGGAAAGAGAATTTAAATAGAGTATAAAATATTACTTCTTTGGAACAGGAAAAACAAGCTTTATGAACCTGAAGTAAGAGACTATTTGGAAATGTTTAGGAAATTTCTGAGTTAAAAGTTTTGATTAGCCTGTTCTGCTTGCTTTCTTTTGTTAAGAGTTTATTATTACTACTACCAGCATCACATATGCTTGTTTCCTGCCTATAGAAATTAAAATGCTCTGTTTGTATTTTGCTCCTCACGCTTCCACAGTGGCCACTCACAGCAGTCAGGATGGTGCTTGAGCAGGTCCTTTTGGAGAGTGTTATACGTACTGCTGTTGTTCATAATTCAGTTATGAACACAAGATGTGGCTTTCACATCCTCCTTTATCTGTGCTGACAAAGTAAAAGTTCCAAAGATTTCTTGGACTCTCTTGTATGACTTGGAAGTTCTGGAAAAATTGACTTTTCCATTTTGTACCGTATGATGATTTACTGGGGCACATCCTATACCTTTGAAATGTTGCAACTAACATATGCAGGCTGTATTCAGAGGCATCTTTTTCCTGAACTATTTGTCCCTTGCTCATTAACTTGCATGGGTTCTTCATGTTTTACACCATCCACTGAGCCAGGCAAATGTTTGAAGTAAATAGTCATTGTGGTGTGTAGGAATTTAAATACATAATTTCCCCTAATGGGAGTTGTTCAACATGCAGTAAACAGAAAGTTCGGGCTGGAGAGTGCTAACATCTTAGATCAAGTTCTTAAACCCCCGTGTGCAGCTCTGGAAATTTGCAGTCAATATGCATTTTTCTGAAAACACACACACCTTGTGGGATAACTCGTATATACAGCAGTCTGTCGCTGTTGGTCTGCTGCAGAAAGGGAGTTCTGTGGCTTTGCTGACCAACTGCGTTGACGTCAACTGTCTCTTCTCAGCTGAAGGATTTCACAGAGGGTTTGTTTTCCCAGTTGGGAGCAAGGAAATAAAATCTGTTTTTCTGGGATCTTGTAAGTTCATTGTTTAATATTTGCTGCTAACTGATCTGGTAATTAACTTTTGTTTTTTTAAGAAAAATGTTGACTAATTTGAGAGCATTTTTATATTTTAATTAACACGTTTTATTTGCCACTAAACAGCTTCTTAAATAAAATTCTGCAAGAAAGAGTGACATTATCCGTTCATATTATGGTACGAATGTAGATCCGGTGGATTTTCACCCTCCCCCCCC